CAGGAAGAAAAGCTTGAGCCGTGGGCCAGAGAAGCGGGCGAGCGGCCGCAGCAGGCGCCAGGCGCGCTCAATGGCGACGCGCTGCACCTCGGGCTCAGCGGCGCCCGCACGGCATCAACAGGGGAGCCCGCGCCTCTGAGGAGCTGCCCTGGCTCGGAGCGGCCCCCCGATGCAGCCAGCCCCACCGTGGACCCAAGCCAAGAGTGGAAAGTGGTGAAGATCAAGCGAGTCCTGGTCTCCCCCGTCAGCCAGCCCAGGAACGCGGGTAAGCGCGCCCTGCTGCTCCCCTGACCCGCGCTGCGAACCCTTCCGTGCTCCCCAGTGTTGGGGAGCTGTGTTTGTTGGTGCTCAGCTTTGCCAGCACTGGGAGAGCCCAGCTCCAACTGGGGCAGAGCAGGCAGGACCGCTGGGACAGCCCTACCTCCCGTCCCTCTGCTTGGAGGGGCCAAGCCACCGAGACTTTTTAGTTTCGGATGATCTCTGTGGCCTTAAAAATACAGAAGAGCATGTGGCTTTCTTGGGAGGGAGGTGGGCAGCCAGCGAGCAGGCTCCCGCGCTCTCCAAGATCTCTCCGAACCGCAAGCGGCCACAGCCTGGGCAAGGACTTCCTGGCCCTGGTGGTGGTGGCACGACCCGCTCTCCACATCCTCGGGACCTTGCTGGAGCATTCGAGCAGGGCAGGGGAGCAGGGCCTGCTTGCGACCCGCTTTCTGGGAGCCCACGGCCACTCACGTAGGGTTAGAGCAGCTGCTGCAGCACCTGCACAGCCCCAGCCCCGCTCAGGCACCCGTCAGAGATGCTCCTGCAGAATGAGCGCCACCCTTTTCCAGGCATTGGAGCTGTTTTTAAGCCCCCCTTCCACCACTTTCTATTTTGTTCCCGCTCAGCTGTTATCTCAGATGCCAGATCTTGCCACAGTAGGTACGTCACTGCCTCCTGATGGGAATGAGTTATGGGATGTTATAGCTTACTCTGAACATGGTTTTGCTGGAGCAACCCCTAAGTCCAAGGAGGGTGGGATGGGCAGGAGTGGGCGGTGCTGTCTTCTGCTGGAGGTGCTGGAAATGAACCTGGTTTCCAGAACCTGTCCTTGGAAAATCTGTCCTTTTGGGATGTCTCACATATCAAACATCCTCAAAAGCAGCAGCCCATCAGATGAGTGCTTGCTGATGGAAATCTCAGACATGCTCTTTGGATAAATGCTGCTCCAGCAGCTTTGCTGTCTGTACAGTCATTGTGTTTTAGGGCCCGGCAATCAAACCAGACAGATCCAAATACCCTTCCCATTTCTCACCGTTCTCTATTGAGGATGGTAGATGTGCAGCAGGAAAGGTCAGGGCTGTCTGTATCTGGGCTCAGCACTTTCCTAGCTCGCGCCACAATCCAGCAGTTCTGCTGCCAGCTTGGAATTTTAAAGTAACTCAACAGGTTTGTTGGAAAGAGTTTGTCTGTCCTGCTTCCTCCTCCTCCAAGTGAGATCACCACCAGCCGCTGCCTGTGTCAGACTTTCCAGAACTGCTGTGCCGGATGTCACGGAGGGTCCTGAGTGCTGGGAGCAGGACCAGGGCCTTGCTGCGCAGCCTGCACGGGGCAGGAGGTGGCAAGGAGGCAAGGAACCAGGCCAGAGCATCCCCAAAGCAGTGCAGACCTGCCAGGCAGGGTCTGCAACCCGAGTGGCTCCTGGGTGCCACTTTGGTCCCTGGCCAGCAGCCCAAGGCCAGGCTGTCTCCTTACAAACATCTGCCCCGGCAGCCCGGGCTGTTTGGCACCTTTCGGGGAAGGCTCGGGAGTGTGAGGAGCCAGGGTGCAGGCACCGGCTGAGTGATGCAGGAGGCAGGACTGGTTTCTCTGTCTGGTGTGCAAATAAACAGAAGGTTTTGCTCCCTGGGGGCCGCCAAGCCTGCGTCAGTCTCCCTCAAAAACCAGAAAAGCACAAAAAAGCAAATGCTGGCAGGAAGAAAGGAAATTAGAAAGGCAAAAAAATAAAGCCAAGAGCTCATCCTGTGGTGAGGACGGGCTCAGGAAGAGCAGGGTGGTGAGGCAGGCGGATCCCACCTGCTAGAGTTACATGAGAGGGAAGTGAGGAGCCGCAGAGCCCTGCTGTCAGGTCTGGCCAGCCAGCCTGTGGCCACCAGCTCCGTGGCCGCTGTGTTGCAGTGCCCATGGGCACTATGAATCTCGGTCTCAGCCTCTCCTTGCTCTGCTGCTAGCCCGAAGGCCAGCACATCCTTGTGGAGGATCCTCTGGGGTATCTCTTCATCCCCTCTCCTTGCACCAGGCCCCAGAGCTGAGGTCCTCACTTCACTGGGAGCAGCACCGGCCTTGCAGAGGGGTCTCAGTGCTCTTCCCACGGAGGTGCGTGGGGTGGGTGACATCAGTGCTGGATTTTTACCGCCTCCAAGCGTCCCAGCTTCTTAGTCCCTGGGAAAAACATCAGCAGTGGGAGACCCTGTGTTCCCACCTGTGTCTGAAAGGTCCCCTGCAGCGCTGGGAGGGGGCAGACGCACAGGGCTGGGGTCGGTCGCTGCCCCAGGCTGTTGTCACCTCTGCGGAGGGGTCTGGCTCGGCGCAGCTGCAGCCGGGACGCAG